TAAAAACTGTTTGTTATGTATTTCTAATTTGTTTTGACTGAACTTTGAAGGAAAAAAGATTTTTCGCCAGTTTTCAAATCACTGTATCTCTTTAATTATGAGTTGGATACCATTAGTATATTATCATTTTGTGTTCCTAATTACCTCAGGAATGCCCTCCCTAAGTGTGGGTAAAACTTCGTGAATCACCCTGTATATCTGCTTGTACGTTAGAAACTAAAATATTACATGGGACTCACAGTGATGACTGCATGAGTGAAACACAGCTTATTTGTGCTACCAAATTCAATAACTACTGAATTAAAAGTGAAAGAATTTGGCTTTTGTCATGACTAATGCATGTGTCTTCCCTGTACAGCAACCCACCTGAGAGAATCTCATCTCTCCAGAGTACTATCTTCTGGGATATAATGTCACGTAGTCCACTGAAAGTTACCTAACATGCCACTTGCTTCCATGCTGTATTTTTTTGCACAGATTATTTTTCGAATCTGAATGTGGAGGCAATATATTCCTCTGAAATTTTGGGTGACTATCAACAGACTACATAGCATTATATCCCAGAAGATAATACTCTTCATAACCGCCAATGTCAGAATCTCAAAGCTTATCTTAATTTGTCTCAAATTAACTGTGTATGTATAAATCCCACCTTACATTTCTGTAGCCAAAATAAGATTTCCTGAAAAGGTATGGTATTGTCACGTGTTGGGTGTATAACACGACAAATAACTTCACGTTTTATTTGATACAGCGAATTTATTGCACATTCGATCTCATAATTACTGCCATCTGCAGTATCACAAGTACTTCTTCTGCTGCAGTCAATGTCACTCACTCATAACTGGCTCAATCCTCACTACTACTGAATAGTGTTCACTGCTCCTTATTTAGCCTCGGCATGGACAACAGAGAACAGTTACATGATAGGTACCGCTGTTGCCTGACGCCGTGTTTACAGGTGTTGCCTAGTAACACTGTCGAGAGTTGTTTACTGCTGCATAGCAACTGTGGCATCCCCCACTACATAACAGCGGGGGGCGGAGTGTTGACTGGCCTGTTACCGTAGTAGCGACAGCGCCCAATGTTGTTATGTCACTGCTGGTGGGGGAGGGGATGTCCTCCATAGCGCAATACGTCACAGTATTTATAAACAGGGCATTTTTACACTTTCTGGCATAGTAGAAATTATTAAGAAAAATTACACACTACGTGAAATGTTCAACCAAGTAAAAACTTAACCTAGAACACTCTCTCTTAATTTGTGACAGTATTTATCTCACACCTATTCTGAATGCAAAATTATTCTTTATTCTTGCTACAGTGTACCTAATTAACAACAATAAAGCATTTACAGAGGAGTTCTCAATTTCAGCATTGCGCTGAGTCTTCTTCAACACTGAGACCACCAAGAGATGTGTCTGCACCAGGATCGAAGTATGACGCCTTGTCATTAACTATGAAAGTGGAATTCAAATTGACATTAGGATGCAGAGCCCAGATAATTTCTTGAAGCCGCTGAATTTCCAGTTTCTGTGAAAGCAACATTCCACATACATCTTTTAGTTTTTCTTCATTATCTTTTTCCATAGATCTCACTTTTCCTTCCAAAGCAGCTACTGTTTGCTTCAACTGCCCAACTTCGTTCCCTCTTTCAGCCTCTTCTCGACACAGTGTTGAAATATTACATTTGTTACTGGCACCATCTACTTTCTTACTCAGTGTTGGGCCAGTCTGCTGCTGAAGCTGAACATTTTGAGCATCACAATTATTAGCACTTCTAACACTGCAACTAAAAGAGAACAGGCCAGTTAGAATTAACGATATATTTACGTGTTTAAAGTCACCAGCAAGTTTCTAATTTTGCAGATTTGATCAGCCATGTGAACGCAAAGTTTGTGTCCAATATGTTTTGATGACTGTCTACAAAATGATGGATACTAACTCCCCAGAGACAAGGCAGACTGCCTAAGAAGATTTCACTGCATGGTTGCCCTGAAAGCTTCGTATCATATTCTGGCATATAGACCCACTGCTAGGCAACGACCATGAAATAAGCAAATATACGACAGCAGTTACTACACATTCTGTCCAGGTTCTGTTAGGACTGTGTTCATTAAAAATACAAGACGTGAATTATTTTCAAAATTTCACTCTTTTTATTCAAAATAGTCTCCTTCTGAATCAATACATAGCTCGAATCGATTGAAAAGTTTTCGAAAACAGTCACTGTACTCCTTTTGTGGAATCACATTTAAAACTGTGGTAGATTCCCCTTGGATGTCCTGGATGGTGTCGTGATGGTCTCCTTTCATTGTCAACTTAACTTTTGGGTACAACCAGAAATCTGGCGAATATGGACGATGATCAAGGACTGTGATCCCTTTTCTGGCCCAAAAAAATCTTTGATTTGTGGGGTGGGACATTGTTGTGGAGTGAACAGGAACCTTATTCACGACATTGAGGTCGAATTTGAAGAATTCTCGCCCACAATTGATTGAGGACTGAGATAATAATCAGAATCCACTGGTTGACCTTCTGGCAGAAATTGCAAAAAGCAATCACTATGGCATTTTACCAGTCACTTGAGATACTGGCATTATTAACTGTTATGTCCAATAGTCGCGCCAGGTAAGGAATCATGGCTATCCCTCCCAGTTTTATGATTTCACCAAACGCCATGTGATCCTACTATTTGTTCTTACCTATCGTAGCTAACCTTTTCCTAATGCTCTTAGTACTAATGGTGAAGGGTTCATCTGAGCTACCACATTGCATTTATGGGATAAAAACATAAGGTAACGATGCTGGAAAATGTTTTGTATATTACAAATTGTGGTGCCTAGTCCCTCATGTCCGCAAAATATTTATTGAACATGACGTTTACAGTTTTTAACATACAAAACAATATTTCATATAAAATTCACCTCCCTAATTACACCAGCTCATTAGTTATTACCACACAGCTAAATGCCGATTCAGTTATTATTTTATAATAAAGAATTACTTAAAAATGTATATTTTTTATAGATCTGTCACACTACATCAAAGGGGCATGCTTTTGCTCTCACGTCAAAAGCCATGTGGTTGCTATGTCAGTGTTACTCATGGCTGGAATTAACAGATTCATGAAAATCTCTCATCTGGTTAAAAAGTTATTTGTGGAAATACGTGCAACAAAATGTGTATTGGAGGATTACACTTAAACCTGCCTCACTACAGGAAGGAAAGTGAGCTAAAAATGAATTTAGATATACAAGACACCAGAAATATTCCACTCACTCACTCATGAAGCCGAGTCCTTCTTGAGAAGGGGTCAATTGTGCAGCTACTGAAGAACTTCCCAGCATTTTATGGAAGCCAAAGGTTCATTACCATGTACACAAGAGCCCTCCATTGGTCCCTATCCTGAGCCAGATTAATCCAATCCATACATAAATTTATCTCTTTAAGATCCATTTCAATATTGTTCACCCACCTACGCCTTGGTCTTCCCAGTGGTCTCTTTCCATCTGGCTTTCCAGCCAATATCCTACATGCATTCCTCATCCCCAATTTGTGCTACATGCCCCACCCATCTCATTCCCATTGGCTTGATCATTCTGATTATACTTTGAGAAGACTAAAAGTTATGAAGCTCCTTATTATGCAGTTTTCTCCAACCTCCTGCCACTTCATCTCTCTTTGATCTAAATATTCTCCTCAGTACCCTGTTCTCAAACATCCTCAGTCTATGATCCTCCCTTAATGCTACAGACCAAGTTTAACACCCAAACAGAACCACAGGCAAAATTATAGTTTTGTACATTCTACTCTTTGTTTCTAGACAGCAGACGAGAAGACAAAAGTTTCAGGGCTGAACGGTAGCAAGCATTACCTGAGTTCAGTCTCCTCTAAATTTCCTCCTGAACCAGGCTTTAATTTTTTATTGTCGTTCCTAATTACCTGAACTGTGCCACATTTTCAAAACATCTGTTTCCTATTTTCATGCCAAGATTTTGCCCTGAAATTTGGCGACGAGATACAAATATTTACTTAGTTTTCTCTTCCTTTACTTCTAGACCAACCTCTTTACTAGCATAAGTTAAAGTTTGTGTCTTTCTTTATGGTATCTACATTATCACCCAGTAGAGTCACATCAGCAGCATAGGCCAACAGCTTATTTGTCCCGTTTAATTTCAGTTCCACCTGGTTTCCCTGGACCTTCATAATGGCATATTCTACAGCAAAGTTGAAAAGGAGCGACAATAAAGGGTCTCCTTGTTTTAGACCATTCTGGATAGGGAAATTATCAGACAAATATTTACCTATACGTACTTTACCATACGTTTCGTTTGAACACAGTTTAATGGATATCCCAAACTCTATCAGAATAATTAATGTACAATACTTCCCTCCTAACTGATTTATGGGCTTTCTTGAAGTCTACGAATAGCTGATGCACTGTCTCACTGTACTCCCATTTTTCTCCATTATCTGACAAATGCAAAAGATCTGATCTGTAGTTGATCTGTGATGTCAAAATCTACATTGATGATCCCCAATAATTTCATCTGTATATGAACTTAACCTTAGAACGTAATATTTCACCTCTTGCTTGAATAAGTTCTGCTGGAATTTCATCAGTACCTGGCGATTTATACCTTTTCAATTTTTCAACAGCACTTTCAACTTCAGTACTTCAGGTACTAAGGACTCAGCTGTATTTCTATCTGCCTAACATCACTGACCCTATGTATATGTACATTCAATAACTGAGAGTAGCTGTTCTTCCACCTGTACAAAATGTTGTGGGAATCTGCAAGCAGATCACCATTCCCATCATTCACTAAGTTACTTCTAGGTTGGTAACCCTTCTTGAAGTCATTTATTCCGCTTTACAGGTTTCTAATGTTCTTGTTCTTACTGTTCATTGGAAGCTCATCAGTTTTGTCTTTCAGATATTTCCTTTTTGTATTCCTGAAATGCCTGCTGGTTTTACGCCTTATATTGTTCAGATTATCCCCATTTAACTCGCTTGGATCCTGTAACCACTGCAATTTGGCCCGCTTCCATTGTTCTAATAATTTTGAGCATCCATCATCGAACCACAGCTTATGCTTCTTCAGTCCATAATAACCTAGACTCTATTTGGCAGAAATTTTTATTTTCTCTTTAATAGTTTCCCAAGCTTTATTAACATCCACCTCAGTGTCTAAGTTTTCCAAAGCCGCGAACCTATTGGAGATATGAACACAATACTGCTCTTTACACTCTACCTCATTTAATTTCTTGAGATTGAACCTCTCCATATGAACTCTGTGCATTGTTCATTACCTCGCGGCCAGTCTTTCCCTAACCTTTGCCACCACCAGGTAGTAGTCAGTATCACAATCAGCTGCCCTGGATGATCAGACATCAAGTATACTTGAATGCTGTCTCCCATACATCAAAACATGGTCGATCAGATTGTGCGTCTTCCCATCAGGAGACGTCCAAGTAAATTTATGAATGTTATATGTGGAAACAAGGGGCATGCAGTAGCATAGTTGGTGGAGGCACTATGCTACAAGCTGGAAGGTCACAGGATCGAATCCTAATGAGGTCACTGGATTTTTTTCAACTTACCTATCCTTCCAGCTGCACTATGGTCCTGGGGTCGACTCAGCCTCTAACATAAATGAGTACCAGGAATATTCTTGGGGGCCGGCGTGTAGGGATGACATTACCGCCATCTATGAGCTGATTGTCTAGAAAATGTGGGAACCTCAACATCTCACAACCCTATGGGCCTCCAAGGTCTGTTACTGGGATACCTTTCCTTTTTACATTTTTTTTTTTGTGGAAACATTGTACTTTTGACAGTAAGATTTTTTGATGTGGCAAAGTTTACTACTCTAACCCCATTACCATTACTAATCTTGTGCAAACTATGCAAAATTTTTTTTTCTATTGGGGAGTAAACATTCAGAATGATGGTATCACACCAGCGACCTCTTAGTATTATGTATAACATCCTACCACTAAAGAACTCTACCCTCTTAAGTGCTGATATGATTCACCTTGCCATAGAAAAATGTATATTCGCCTGCTGGTTTGGTACCACCTCCATCCCATATGACCTCCTGTACTTCACTAAATCTAACTTATATTCTCAGATTTCATCTGTCACTGCCCTGTACATATTTCTAGCATTCCAAATACCAAATCTCATATCCATTTTCTTTTGCTTAGCTCGTTTAGCCACAGAATCCGTCCAGGTCCGAGGTTTCTTGAACATTTTTGTAACAAGCTCATTTTTTATGGTGAGAAGTTGTTAGCACCAAGCCCAACACCCAAGCTGGAGAACCACCCCTTGTCGACTGTCCACAACTGCTCATTCAATATATTTGCAACTTCCTTCCATACCTGGAGGGTGTCTCCTCCATCCACAACCTGAGGACGTGCCATGCCATGGTGACAAGTGATGCACCTAACATGGGCAGAAATATTCCAGAACTCTAAAATTTTGCCTGTTGTCTCTTGGCCTCTACAAGAAACTTACAATTACAAGTATTAAAGGTAAAGTTGTCCCTGTGCTTAACTAATTAAGTGCTCCACCATGAAGGTATGAAGATGTGCAGATCCACATTTTCTTGATCTTGGCACTAGTTTAAGGTGAGTGGTCAGCTTCAAGCCTTGGCCGCTTTACACCCAGGGAAAGATCCCCTGGTATTTATTGGACAGGAGGTTGGGTGGACCCCACAGCTGGTCTGGATGACGTGGAGAAAATTCTTGACCCTACTGGGACTCAAACCCTGAGCCCTTGATCATCCAGCCCGTAGTCAATCGCTATACTGACTGCAATATCTCAGCTCCTTATATTTAAAGCATATTAGAAAACAAAATGCAAAGAAAATATGTGGACCAAATAATGTATTAATTTACTTCTCATTTATTTAATGATACTGACAAATAGCACAGGCAATACAGCATCAAATGATATGAGGATCCTAGTCAATATGATATCCCAGCATTTGCCAGGAGGGTCGGAGGAAAACTATGGAAAACCTCAGTCTGGATAGCCAGTGTCCTGGCAGAGATCTGAACTGAGCACTCCCCAGATATGTCTGGTGCATAATTGGTACTCCAACCTGCTCAGTGGTACCTAAAAACATGACACAAAAAATTCCAAGTCTAATTGTTTCTGATTATGTGTTAAAATAAACTCGAATCTGTTTGTCATCCCTGGGCTAGGGATCAAGACTAGGGTTTCCAGTGGTCCAGCTGAGTGAGAACCTCACTTTCCTACACCTGATGATGGAAACAAATCTGCTTTCTGAAACGTTTTGCCTGGGGGGAATCAATCTAATGGGCAATGTCCAAACAAACCATGTTTATCACAACACATGAATGAGCTTGCAACAAACATAACAAACAAACTCCGTGGTTTCAGTCCACAAGCAAACAATACTGACCAAGCGACCAACCCTTCTCGGCGAAGTTAGTGCCAACTTTAGTGGATAGAAGGGTGTTGCATGGTAAAAGTATAAATCGCCTGGTAGTGATCAAGTTCTGGCAGAACTGATTCATGTAGGAGGTTAATCATTACTGTCTGAGATCCAAAAACTAATTAATTCTATGTGGAATAAGGAAAAATTGCTTTATCAGTGGAAAGAGCCTATTTTTGTACCAATATACGAGAAGGGTGATAAAACTGACTGTAGTAATTATCGTGAGATATCACTGCTACAAACTTCATTCAAAATTTTATCAAATATTCTTTCTCAAGGTTTAGTCCATATAGAGATGAAATTACTGGGGACCATCAGTGTGGGTTTCAACATAACTAATCACATTTTTTGCATTCGTCAAACACTGGAGAAAAAATGGGAGTACAATGAAACAGTACATCAGCTATTCATATACTTAACCTTTGAGTGCCGAAGTGCCCAGTTTGTGCCAGTCATGAGTAAGGTCGTGGCCAAAGTACCTAGTTTTGTCCAGTCAGGCATTTAAACTCCGCTAGTGGAAGC